ATTTTCTCTCGTTCGCTCGACTCGTTCACATCCATCGGATGGTGTTACGCATCCAATTTTCATAACAACGTTGATCTCGCACAACACAAATGTAATTGACTCTCCGTGTGTTCAGTAGTTTTTCAGGAGTTTATCTTCGACTGACAGAAAAGTTTGTTCGATTTTCTTCTTTTTTTTCTGCTCTAAAATTCGTTGCTGGTTTTTTTTTTCTCTTTCGATAACTCTCTGTACATACAGATGAGAAAATATTCGCTCGCGTGAATAGTTAGAGAGCATATAACCGAAACCATAGATCAAGTGCTGAATGTTCAAGCGATATAAACTTTATTCGGAAACGCTCCAATTTTTTCGAATGAAAAACTTTTCGGCGAGAGTCAGAATCGACAGAGCGTGAGAGTGAGTGAGTAAGTGAGAGAGAGTGAGAGAGCAAAGAAGTAAGAAAAAGATATCCAAAAGTGCTTCGCATATTAAAAATAACATGAACTAAAAGATGTATGGCATCTTGTGTGAGTGTTATAGACGAACGCGCACCGCGATTCCGAAAGAAAACAGGTTTCATTGATAATCAGTTATTAATAAAAGACTGGAAAACTTACGTTATTACTCAACAACTTGCAGACGGATATCATATTGTTGCTTCGATTGTTGTTGCTGACGCTGATTCTGGATAGTATTTTGTTGCTCGCATTCAACTCTTAACTCATTCGGATGTAATGAATGTTGAATAAACGAGCAAAAGATCGTCGGATACGCTCATTCGCGCGTGAAAGAATCAATCAAATTAATTGATAGCAAAGAATCAATTCAATCAAACTTTTTTTTTTCGGGGCAACGATAACGGAAGATCATTTAAGTTATATCATATAATGAACAGAAAAAAAAACTTGGGCAAAATACCGCATGATGAAAGTGATCGAAAATATAAAATAAATTAATATTAATGTGGTGGCCAATGTCGTGAAACATTGCTTTGAGAAACAAAATCCATCTTGTTTAACTGGTATTCTGTTTATGTGATACGATGTCGATGTGCGTTCACGTCATTCCTGTTTTTCAATTCGTTGAAATCGACGTCTTGAGTGCGTCGCGTTTAACAGACTTTTCTTCACACAAATTCAAAATATTGTGCGTTTTGCCATCGATTGTTGTTGTTGTTTTTTTATTCATTTGTTGTGTTTTGATACGTTATTTTTTTTTATTCGTTCATCTGTCAGTGTCATTCAATTTTCGTATATATCGCGAATTGACGTGTTGAAAATTGTTTTTAGCGCATTCAAACCGTTTTTTGCTACGATAAAATCGTTAATTCTGTTCTCACATCGCATCAATTGAAATAGTATATTTCACTCAAAATTCAATTCGATTTTTTGTTTAAATTAAAGTTGTTCGTATATTAAAAATCAATATACACTGCGTTCGTGTGATTGTGCAATTTTAATCTGGTTATTAAATTGACATCGATACTGAAGTGTTGCTGTGTTTGAATTTTTCGTGATGTATTCTGTGTGACAGGTTTTTTTTGCTTCTTTAATTCTCTTCTTTCGACTTGAATTGAAAAGTGAATGCAATTAACTAATCAAAATTGTCTCAACATATCGCATATACTATGTGTATAATATTTCATTCACATCACAGGTGAATTGGTGTTAAACTTGGTATTATTGTCCAATTAAAAACTTGTTAAATTGATTACGGTTATACAATACATTGTACTGAATACAAGGTGCAAAGAGTATATGTTACCGTCTTTTTTTCTCGCTCTCTGTTTTATTCTATATTTTACTTATTCGAAGAATGACGACGGCAATTTAGTGCATGATACGCAATGGGCCAGTTAAAATTCCATATTCATTATGTACACACAACGGGGCGAGAAAGAGTATAATAAACGTAGAAAATTTATTAATTTCAGTGGGAAAATCAACGAAACCTCTTCAGAGCAGCGTGGTGCTAATATTATTCAGCGATAGATTTTTTTCCCTCTCACTCATGTTATGAATATCATTTCATTTAATGACGATGCAATTCGAGTGTTTTTCGAGCGTTACCATACATAGAGGTTTCTTTCTCTCATTCATCTCTCAATGATAAGTAGAATCTCTTTTATGGAAGTGCTTGAGAAGGTCTTCATTAATGTAGCGCCTTGGCGATGGCAATATTGAATAGATAAACATAACCATGGTCGGGAAAAAGAAGTAAAAAACATGGACACAGCAGCGAAAAAAAAGTTATAAAAAATTCAACAGCCAATTTGAAATCATGTCACTGGGCATTTTTGTTCAGGGTAAAATTCAAAAATCAACAACACGCTAAGCGCACATATTGTGTTTTTTTATGGAACTTTTTTTTTGCTGTGGCCAATGTTGCGTGCTATGTTTTCAATGAAATGTACCGAGTGGTGTGTTGTTTGCAATGCTTTTAAGGTAAAATGTCGTTTGGTTACACACACACACCACACTCTGAAAAAATAAATACAAAAAAAAGGAAGAGGACCGCGAATGCGAAACATTGAACCGCAATTTAATATTACTTCATGATTGCTTTTGTCTCTAATACTCCATCTGTAAGGCACATCTACATCACATTGTCCCTCGCACACAATGTATGGTAGAAACTTTTTAACCACAAAGTTTGTCAATTTTCAAAGAATTGAAAAAGTTTTCGCGAATTCGTTTTACTTATTTGTTTATGGGATCGCTGGTACGCATTGCATATATTTGAAAACGTTTCGTTCATGTGCGACGATGCGAATTTCCACACTCTATTTGGAAAATACATTTAAAACCATGTCATTCGAATATTCTGCACAATTTTCAATCGATTTACGAAACTGTATTCACACATTGACATTAAAATCGAGTGAGTGAACTTTTGGAAAGAGAAAATCCAACAGCGACAACGGCGACGAAACAAACAACGATGACGCCAACAGACCGAATTTTATATAGACGAATTAATTCGTTTTCATATTCGCTAACTCCGGCTCGGAATTCAATGAATACGCAAATAAAGCATATAGTTATAATTGAATGTTTGTTTCGTATAAAGCATTTGTGACACTTCCGACGTGAAATCGTCATATCGTATAACATTTCGGTTTGACGTCATTTTGTTGCGAAAAAAATATGACGACACAATGTGAATATTCTTTTGCGTTCTGTCGCTCTCTTTTTCTCTCGCTATCGCAATCAATCTTACTTTGCCCCACTCGTCCACACACCGCTCGCAGTCAAACAAAACTCAGTCCGTTGGCTCTGTTTTTTTTTTCGTTTATAATTACGAAAAAAGCGCAGGCTAATAAGACGACAAACAAAGCAGATGAACAAATTTAATGAATTGGTAAACAAAATGAGAAAAATTGACTTTTTGGTTTGAGTGTTTTTCCTTTTTTTCCTTTCCATTTTGTGTTCTTTCAATTTTACTACAGGATTTCTTTAATCACTTGATCTGTACGCGCGCAGTTTTCGCATTCGAAAAATGAAACCGAGTTATATACCCGATTCCAAATTTTCTAATTTTCCTTGTGTTTCGCCAAAAGCCACTGAAATGTTGATTGCCACAAAAAAGAAAACGAACTGCGTTAACAAAAATGAGAGTACCCCAAAGAAAAAGGCGAAAAAAAAGAAACATCCATTCAATTCGTAGCTCCCCTTGGACAAACAACAATATTTTTGTGCTCGAAAACTCTCTCGCATATCTTTTTCCCTTTCAATACGAAAAAATCTACACGTATAATCATTTTCGTACATAGATATATATATATAGCATCAACAACTGACTGATTGTTTGCGGTGTGACTTTTACTTGGAGAGCGAGAGTTGCAAAAGTTGAAAAATGAAATCGAATTGAATGAGCTTCTTTTGAAAAAGTGCAAAAAATACAGCAAAAATAAATCTTCATCTATTCATCGCCATATTGCCATTCATCATGTGCCCGAATCCAAAAAAGAAAATATGGAAATGAATTTGTTCTTTTCCGTAAGCTTCACCGTTGATACCTGCACGATGTGTACGGGTTGTGACGCGCAATGTTTTTTATCGCATTTCACCATCCAACATTTTTCCTACAAAATATTGCGATGCGAAAAAAATGAGAGAAATATATATATTTTCCGTTTGAATTGCACCATGTTGTAATCATTCCAGCATGATATCCACTATAGAAACATGAATAATAACAACTGAATGTATTCAAATGAATATAATAAAATAAAAAGCGGGCGTTTGATTGCAAAAGTCTTACAATTCACCGGTTGGAGTCATTTCATTGTTTTATTCTTTGATTCGCAACAATTTGTTTACCGAAACTATGCAAATTCTGCACACCATATACCGAAAAAAGGGAATTTTAAATGTTAATTTGACGACATATAAAGTGACGACTGAATAGAATTCTTTTTGAATTGTATGAAATGAGAATCTCTAGGGAAAATGTAGATGTTTAAATTTAAACAAGCGGTCGAATTAAAAAGAAGAAAAAGTTCATCGTTCCGTGCACACAAAGTGCAAACAGATTATTATTCAGGGTCGGTTTTTGGGAAGTGACCCAATAAAATTAAAATTTTATGTTTCCGAATTAATTCAGCGTAGCACAAAATTCAGTCTCTTACTCTGTCCTTCCAAAACAACGTGTTCGGGATACAGATAAACGACGCAAAACAACGTGACGACAATACTGAAAACACATTTTCTTTTTTTTCGATCAGATATCATCACGACCTGATGATTCCTTTTTGAAATACAACAATAACCAAAGCACATCCTTATTGTGAAAAAAGGCACTCTCACACATACACACTTTAACAGCTTCACTTTGTTTTGTTCGTCGGTAAGAGATGTGAAAAAATAAAATAAAATAAAGTAGGTCAAATGAGGAAAAAGGAACCAATTTCACTGGTGATTTATAGACAATTTTGCTATTTCCAACCAAATTTAATTTGTTTAAAAAAGACCTAAGAACACACACACATAAGAAAAGTAAGAAAAATTTTCACCCTGAAGCCACACACAGACATACCAAAAAACCGAAAGTTGGATTAAGAAAACACAAGAATAAAATATAAAACTCAAATTCAGCTTAACCAAAGCTGATATCAAATTAAGTGTAAAGCACATCAATGAACATTGAACAAAATGAAATAATAATTTCGAACGAAAGATAGAAAACCCGAACTACGAAAAAAGAAAAAAAAAAACAGAAATTGCGTACCAAAAATTCGCACAAGAGAGTGAAAGACAAATATTGTGGAACGAAAAAGAAAAGAAACAGAAGAAAATATGGTCAAAAGAAAAATGTGAAAACTTCGTGGAAAACTTTTACAATAAATGGAACGTTAATCGAATGCTAGAATAAAAGCTCGGAAATAGAGAGAACGGAAGAGACAAAAAGCAAAATTAAATCAACAACCATCATCTCCGCCACGAAAAGTATACACAAAACGACCGTAAATCCAAATAGCACGTACTAAGTCATTCGGATATGTAAGATAAACATGTCCAACGTCATAAAAATCCAATCGAATGCGAAAAAACGATGAAACAAGTAACAAGGAAGCCATTTATATTCCCATTTTATACACTATTTGATTTCATCTAATTTTCATTGATTGGCTCGTTCGCATACCCAGACGACGTCGACAAAAACGACATTAAATGAAAAGAGGAGAATGAGTGAAATGTTGTTGCAAACTGGGTGCTAATAATAATAACGAACGGAACTTTTTGCACGCACACTGGTAACTGGTGTTGCTGGTGGTGGTGGTGGTGTGTATGCTGGTTGTGTATTTTCGATTCGTTTGCTAAATAAAAACATACGCTTTTGCTCAAAGTTATGGATAATTCGATTAGTGATGATAATATAAATACAGTGGCAGCGGCTGCTGTTGTTGCCGCAAGTACAGCAACTGCCGCTGTCGGTACGCCAACAATCACAAAAAATAGCAGTTGTGATGGATTACAATCGAGCATTGACTACGGTGGCCAATCCGTTGTGCATAATGATGATAATGACATTGGGAAAAATAACAGTGACAAATCATGTTCGCCAACCATCGCAACTACAGCCGACGAATTTAAAACAAAAGAATATTTATTGCGTCGCAATGACGCCAGCTACAAACGTATCACATCAAAGTGCATCTCACGTGCAAAAGACTTAGTGCATAAATGTCAATCCGATCCAGGTGGATCAAGGGTTACACCAACACTAAATCTATCCGCAAATAGATCGCCACAAAGTCGATCGACATTAAGACATCAATCACCCAGTTGCTCATCATCGTCATCAAATACCGCGTCAACTACACGAAAATGTGTACTCACTTTGGATGGATACAACTACGTCATAGGTAAGCACACAAACATACAAACAATTCGTGCATTCAGTGTCTATTCAAATTAAATGGTAACTCTTCGAAACATTAAGACGGAAAAAACAAGTGGAAGAGGCAAAAACTATACAGAATAAATGTTTCTAGACATGAAAAGGAAAGAGTAACAAAAAACGCCGACACGAATTGAGCACAATTTGCGTTTTTAAAAGCGTTAATCATTTTGAATTGAAAATGTAAACTCAACTTTATGGCACTTTTTTGCTATTCTCGCTTCTATTATTCAATTCAATGCAGACGTTTATACGTTTCTTTTAAATATAGAATTGAATGGTACTTTTACTATCAGGGTGAATAAGAAGGCAATTTCTTGGACATTTTCCAACGGAATTTTCGCAGTTAACGATTCGAATGAGAATTACATTACGCTCATAATGAATATTAAATTATAAATTCAATGCTTTTTTTCGAACACACGTTTATTTTTAAGCGATTTTATGATGGCGCAAAGTGAATTTTACAAAGCAAATAATGCAATTAATTTTGCAACTGAAACACATTACATACATCATTTAAAATCATTTTATTCGTTTTTTCGCCTTCACATTTATTATTGCATTACAATTTTTCGCACCAAATGTGTGCGCATTTCTTGAAGATGGCAATCAAATGTGTGTTTCGAACCAAATTGGATGCCTGTGCCAAACGAGAAAAACATATCTTTAATGAAAAAGTGCCAATAAATGAAATGAATAGAAACGTGTGATGTCTAAATATGGTGAATAAAATCGACGGCTTAAATATACGATATTCTACTAATTGCTCAATTAATTAGCGCCCATTTAGAAAATAATATGAACAATCGATGCGACGACTAACAATCCGAACGTTAATACGACATTTGCGATGACTGATGGCCCAGCTCCATTGCCTTGGTCGTGTTTTGTTTTCAAAATAATAGTATCATATTTTTCTAAAATGACTTCATTCGCCTTTACTGTCGCACTGCAAATAAAAGCAAACAAATACGAAAAGCACAATAAGTCACCGCTCGATAAAGAAATATGAAAACAAAATGGGCCAATATAAAATGTGAAATGTCGAAAACCCTTATTTTAAACGACAAATTGAGTACACAATAAAATCGAACATGGATAACGTATTTTAGTCAGGCAAAGAAAATACTAGTTTCCACAATTTCCGAACAGAAAAAACAATCGCAACGAAAATGAAATTGAAGAATCGAAATGACATTTTCCATCTTCGAAAATAGATTGATCATACTTTGTCGACTGTCACGACCTTTGCTATTGTTATTTTGCGTGTTTTGTTTCCATTTGCGATGCGACCCAATAAAAATATACCGTACAATATAAAATATTTTGATGAAGTGATATCTACCCTTGTACATGGCAAGAGTCAGTGCCCACAGCGGCCAATTCCAAAGACCATTGTTCGAGAATGATTCCACCAATTTTAATTTTTGTTATAATAAATCGTTGTTCAAGATTACCCAAATTTATGAGCATCCAGTATGTGTCACTATTTTCAAGCTCTCTGAAGTAAACTGGATTTTGTTCTTATGTCATCGGTTAAAAGCTAATTCTGATTCTTTTGTTATATTTACCTGGCGTAAGCAAATACATTTTCATTCAAAACTGTTGAATTGAATGAACCGTAAGCGAATGTATCTCGTTTCCAAGGTTGCACTAATTGCTTATAGAAATTTAATATACTTTGTGGATTTTCTCTTTCCGATGCAACATTCACAACTTTATAATTTTAATAAATTGGTAACCATGGTTAACTGGGTGCATTTTCTGGATTAAGATTGCTCATTACAACATAATTAAATGGAATTCGCAGTCCTTTCAAAAACTAGCAAAATTACCAGTGGTGTTTTTATTTTCTCATTTATTGATTAATCATACAAAATGTGTTTAAACTACTATTAATATTAAAAATACGTGTTATTATTATTGTCACTTTACTGTCAATAAGACAACAATAACCGAAGCAATTAATAATAGAGGCATTGGCGTTTGTGTCCAAGCCCATGAGTTTTGGTTCTCATCGTGCCAAATGCTTTTCATTTCATAAACATTTAGTTCTTTCAATTGAATCAAAGACGAATTCGTGGGTGAGTGAACTTGAATGCTCATTTTAGATGCAATGCCATCTTCAGAGAAGAAAATAGCACTCA